AAATTGATGCACATTGAAACACAATAAATAAAATATTAGGATTCAAAAGTCACCCATAAATAAATTATTCTTTAAAATTATAAACAAAATAAATGAATAAATAAACAATGACAAATAAACATATATGAGGGGAAAAAAAATAAACAACACAAATAATTAGTTACAATAATAATATAGAGACAATGTATATATAAATATATATAGGGGGAAGGGGGTAATGTAAATGCGGTAATATAAATATATTATATTACAATAGACTAACTAATATATAATAAAAATTAAACTAAAAATAAAAATAAAAATAATGCTACAGTGAGATAAACGAAATAAATATAAATTGATAAATAATGAATAAACAACATATAAATTATTAGGCCTTATTATAAATAAATTATATAAACAACATAAATAAATACGAACAAATAGAATGATAGGAAAAAATATATATATATATAAACAGTGTAAATTATATATATATATATATATGAGAGTTAGTGCAATATAGATAAAACAACAGTAAATTATATATATATATATATGTATATAAGGGTTAGTACAATATAGATAAAACAACATGGGACACTGTAAATTATATGTATATGAGAGTTAGTACAACACAGATAAAATAATGTAAAATACCATAGATACCAAATGGAGATGATACATAAATTACATCAATTATTTGAAACAAACATAATATTTTACAATGTGACAACAAAAATAAAATGACTTAAAATAAAACAGAATGTTAACATAAAATAAATATATATATAACATAATGAAAAAAAAATTAAAATGTAAAGAAAAGAACAATAGAGTAACATTATATAATATAAAACATGATAATTAAGAAAGGAGATAATATAAAGTTAATATGTAGTCAATACATAGATATATATTGTGATGATTGAGTAAGGAGATAATTAGACGATGAGAAGAGTGCATCATCTTACGAAGGGTTTATACCTCAAATTTTCAGAGCAAGGTCATGCTGATAACGTGTTGTAAAACTACAAGAAATAAGGAGAATGAAGAGTAGAAAAGAAAGCAAGAGATAGAGAAGACAATGGCCTTTTCTCATTCACTTTGGTTCAAGGTACAAATGCCTCATGTATGCCCTCTATTTAGAGGCCTCCAAGCATTAAAGTCCTATACTAAGGTTACAAAGGAATAAAGAACATCATAATAGCATTAACAATAAGAAACTCCTCCCAAAAACATTCATTAGGGAGGTTATGTAGTTTATGACACTTGAAGGTGAGGAATCCTATGAGAATTCTAAGGGTTAGGGGTTATGGACATCCACTCATGCAATATTCATAACAAACATTAGAATTTTTAGACATCTCAGTCAAATCACTCGCCAAATTAGAGCAATCGCCTCTCCGAATCAACCCAGCCGCAACTAAAACGATCCGACCCGACACCTGATGTTTTAATTAAATAACGACCACAAAAACAGGAGAAGCATTAGAATTTTTGGACATCCCCGTCAAAAGCACTAGCCAGACATGCCTTTCCTCTTTCTCTGTCCATCCCTTCCCTTGCCACCTGATTTATAACTGGAGGAAGGTTCATCATTCTCTTCACTGTCAGTCTCAACATCTCTCTCTCTCTCTCTCTCTCTCTCTCTCTCTCTCTCACACACACACAAACCCCATGGCTGATCCAGCGAGGTTAGTATACTTTCTCTCTCTGAACTACATAATTTGAATTATTTGAATTATCTGATCCAGTGAGGTTAGTAAACCCCAAATTGTATTGTATTGTATTTCTGCCCCTATTAGATAGGTTTTTTCAATGTATTTGGGGACGCTTGCATAAAGAACAGCTGATCTTCTATTGTTTACATGCTTTCTATTGAATATAATCTGGTAATGATTTCACACATGGACTCAGTCATTTCCTTATTTAACCAAATGAAAAAGATTTGACGTGCACTTGTGTTGCTCTCATCGTGTTGGGGCCGCCGCACGAGTTTATTAAACCTCAAAAAAGTATACATGAACGAATATTACATTTAAAACCAACATATTCATATGTCATATTGAGTTGATTAGAACCGAAAGGGCATTATCTATTTTTGGGTGCTTTTCTTAAGATAATACATATCCTGCTTGTATTCCAACTTTCAAAAACATGACTCAAAAGGGTAATTTTGGAAAGCAATTAATTTACAATAATAAAGCTTTTCTATTTTTATTTTCGTTTTTAATTTTTTATTTTATAACAGAATATCTTTTTTTGGCTCTGTTTTCTATGTTGAAAGCAGAGCCAGACAGAGGACGATAGAATGTGGTCATTTAGAGCAATGGCAATAGGAAGAAGCCGCAGGCAAAGGCAGAGGATGATCGAAGGTCGTCATAAGGATGATTAAAATTGTCATCGAAACTGATTCTCTCTTTCTCTCCCCCCCCCCCCTCTGTTTTTTTCCCCCGCCAATTTTCATCCAGACTCTGTTTTTCTTGATTTGCTTTATATAAATTATTTAGTGTTAGGAACAAAAATTCAAACTAATGCACAATTACTCGGTGGTGCAATTTCTTTTAGTGAGGTGAAGGAGTTTTTTTAAATTCATTTAAAAAAAGCATGAAACTTGTATTCAATTAATATCTCCCTCACACACACACGATTGACTAATTTTGTGGGTTAAGATATCAATTATCCATTTTTTCTTCTTCAATAGGAATAATTGGATAAAGTTTTCTGTTTCTTTAATTGTAATGAAAAACTTTTTAACAGAGCCGCTTTTGTTAGGGGGGAAAAAGCTTTTGTTTTTTTTGCAATAAAATAATAAATAAAAAAACGAAATTGAAAATAAAAATCTTCACTATCTTAAATTAACTTCTTTCCAAAATTACACTTATATTTGCCATTTGGGAAGTCGGAATCCGGAAAGGACACGTATTATTTTAAGGGAAAAAGCATGGCTGGTAAAATCCATTACATAAAATATTGAATTGTCCGAGAGCTGCAAAGTTGCACCCCAAAAAAAAAAAAAACATATTTTTGGTTGTAATGATTTGCCAGCATTTTCAACTCAATCTATAACATTCCGAACATGTTGGTCTTAAATAATATGATAATCGTTCAAGAACTCGTGTGCAGGTCCCTTTCATTTAGTTAGCTAAGTAAATGACTGAGTTCATGTGTGAAATCATCACTAAATTATATATCCAATAGAAAGCAAGTAAAGAGTAGTAAGATCTCAGACGTTCTAAACACAAGCATTCCCAGGTACAATTAGGAAAGCTTTATGGATGTAAATGAACTCGTGCACAGCTACAATTTTCTTTTCATATATTGAAGAAACCTAATTCTGGACGATGATATGATAGGGGGGAGCAGTACAATAACATTATAACTTATCACTCTGAGAAGCCTCTAAATCTGTCGGTCTAAACTTGTATGTTGCCTCTTGGATCATGGTTATGCTTAATTCCTTTGCAAATGTCATACACATATGAACCCATCTTCTTGCATATTTCGGTGACGAGGTTTGGGGCAAAATAGATGAGGAGGCACGTGATGTATATAATGATGATGAGCGGGATAACAGGTTTAGACACCAACACAGATATCAGGACAGCACGAGCCATGCCTCCTGAGATTACAGCTATGTGGGATGAGAGTATGGGAATCATTATTTGAGTTGGAGGAGTGAGACTCGTAGTAGGCAGATGAAAAGGCAAAAAGGAACAAGCATCCTATGAAGATCCAGATCTGTGCGGAGTGCTCGTCGACGGGAGATGAGCCGTGAAAGTGAATTTGAACCACCATGCCTATCGCTGTGATTAAGAAGAAAAAGGTACGCCAGGGCTTTGAACTGCAAAAAAAAAAAAAAGCAAACTTTTCTTTGAGAAAACAGAGTGTTGATAGTGAAGAACTATATCAGGAAATATAGGGATAGGAAGTGGTAGAAGGCGGGTGATTCAAAGAGAACGTGGGGGGAGCAGATATGAGCGATGGAAAGTGAAAGAAGCTTCAAAATATGCAATATGGAGTGAGCAGACGAGAAATGAAATTGAGAAAGCAGAGTACATAATTGAGAGAGAACGGAAACAAACCTCACTGTATCATCCATGGTGTGAGAGAGAGAGAGAGAGAAGAGGGGGAAAGTGGTCTATTTAGGCTGCTGCAGCTGTGAATCGTTGGGGCCCAAAAGTATTGACAAAGTTGAATCCCAAAGGTGTCGTTGGGGCCAAAAGGAAATAAATTTTTTTATATATTTATTTTGTATAATTATAAATATTTTTAAAATTATAATTTAGTTTCGTCAAAACACTTTATAAATTTGCAATCCAACCCCATTTACTACTTCATCCTCCGCTTCGCAGTGGCACCACAACTGTAGTACGTCGCAAACTAACCCATCATCATACAACTGCTGCAGCTGTGAATCGTTGGGGCCCAAAAGTATTGACAAAGTTGAATCCCAAAGGTATCGTTGGGGCCAAAAGGAAATAAATTTTTTTATATATTTATTTTGTAAATTATAAAAATATTTTTAAAATTATAATTTAGTTTCGTCAAAACACTTTATAAATTTGCAATCCAACCCCATTTACTACTTCATCCTCCGCTTCGCAGTGGCACCACAACTGTAGTACGTCGCAAACTAACCCATCATCATACAACTCCAAATCTTTCATACGGTCACTCCCCAGATTTCAGTGTTTTTCTCGAATTTTAACTTTCAACTTCTACCCATCTAAATTTTAGTTAACTGTTAAATTATAGGATTAACTTATTATTTTAACCAAAATACCTCTCCTTAATAGAAATATTACTTAATAATTATCATTTAATCACACACGATATATCTATATTTAAAATTAAAAATGATTTTAATATTTTTATTATACTATTAAATCAATTACCATATTATGAATTTAATTAATTTTATAAATACAAATTTTTATTTTACAATAAATTTAAGTGTTTAATCTCGTTTATTTATTAAAAATGACATGTGATATAATTTTTTAAATATATATTAGTTGAAAATGTTTTGTAATTGTATGTATGTATTTTCAGTAAAATGTTTTGTTTTTAAAATTCATTTTATTTATTATTTTATTGCAAAATGCCTCTATTTTTTATTATTTTATTGTATTATTCATTGAAACGAAACGTTGTCTCTCACTGTAAAATGTAGGGGATTAGCTTAAAAAATGGACAAAGGGAAGATCCAAGACTATTTTCTTTGCGGGATTATCCCAAGGTCAAATTATCTACCAAATGAAAAAAAAAACAAAAAAGAAAAAGGAGGGAGAGAGAGAGGTGGAGGTCGGCATCCACTATGAGGACCCTTTCCTCAACGTCCCAGCATGATCCATTGATCGATCTAATTAAAAGCTCAGAATATGCCACATCATCATACTAATTAAAAGTTAAAAATAAATCTGATCAATACTATAAAATTATTGAGTAGTTTTAAACTATATTTTCCGGAGTGAAACACCTAATTTTTTTAGACCTATTCATTTTAACAGGAGAATTTATTGAGAGTCATAAATTGAGCCAGATAACACTACAAATGAAGGCAAAACTCTGCTATCAGGTATTTTAATTAAAAATTAAAGAAATTAAAATACTTGATATCCCTTTGATGCTCTTTTATGCTTCTCTCTAACTCAATCTATATCAAACTGGACCCCTGAAAAATCTTCCAGTTAAATGGATCTATAAAATTGTACATAGATATCAGATATAGCCATCTGAATCAGTCTGGACTTTTCATAAATGAAGTAGGTGCAAAAAACTGAATATTGCATGCTAAAAAATCTTTAAAAATAGTTTGAGGCCGGTAAATAATTTAAACTATGATTAAATTTTATTTTTAATTTTTAATAACATAATAATGTGGCACATTGTGAGACTTTAGATTAATCTCAATGGCTACTATTTAGACGCTAAGCGGAGTGTGGACGTGACAGTAAATGTAGAGGCAAGGTTTTTGTTTCCTTTGTCAATAATTACAAATTAAGTAAATCTTTTATTCTTATCTCACTCCCTCTTATTCATATTGTAAGATGCCTCCCTTCATCTCACTAGCAATAAAGAGAAAATAGTTAAATCATTAATTTCGTTTGAAAATAAAAAATAATTATAAATTTATCCATGTTTAAAAACCATCAATTATATCTTAGAAGTAAAAAAAATTGAAAAAATGACAGAAAAATACCTGTTGAATTTCAAAATAACAAATATGTGATTTTGACATACTTTGACTTGTCTAACTATTATAAGGGTAGTTAAAATCATTACAAAAATAGTTAGTATAACCTATTTATTTTTTTGAAATTTATCATGTATTTTTCTGTTATTTTCTCAAAAAAATTGCATCGAACTATAAATAAAGCCCATCGTATATGCCAAAAAAAAAACGCAGTCTCGAAAAACTGTAATTAATACTTGATCATTCATTAGTTTTAGAAATTAAAGTGGCTTATAATAGATTGTAGAGGGAGTGCGTGTCTATATATTTATAATTAGACAGAGAACTTCATTACGCAGTTTTTTGTGAAACAATCAAAAGCAACCTCTTTATTTATTTTATATTATTTCAAACTGATTTTAAATCCCGGTCAAAAAAATCCGATTTTAAATCTAGAGTGTATTTATAGTTTAAAAGCGTATGATTAAATATTTATATTTAAATAATTTTTAATTAACCGCCATCATCGTATTTGTTTTTCTAATTTTATTAACATTGCAGAAGGGGGAAAAAAGAGAAATTGACTGTTCAGTCATTAGATCAAGCCGGTGATGACTCATACGAGATGGTTGTCGTAAGAGACTAGCTTATCTAAGTCAGTTTTTCTTGATGAATCATCCATCTTTGCAAATTTTTGGCTTCCCTCTAATTCTGAATCAAAAAGAGAATATTGAACCAAATGTCCCAACCCCCTTGGCGTCTGGTTCGTGAAGAAAGAAAATGAAGGATGACGTGTGAGCAAAGGCTGAGGAAGCTGGGTGAGGAAGACGCCTGAGAAAAAGAAAATCATTGAAATTTTATCTTTGAAAAAAAGAATAATCTAATTTAAATGGATGCTAACTAGGATTAAAATTATGTCAGTTGGCATGTTTTAATTAGATAGAGCTCAGATAAGGCGCTGATCCATGTGTATATAAGAATTTCTCTATCAATTGTCCCCATGCTTGGTTGGGGTTTCTTTTGGAGGGGAGGTGGGGGGAAGGGAGGGAAGGAGGGAAGAAAGCGCGTTTGGATAAAGTATGTTTTAATTCGTGGTTTATTGTCAACTTGTTTCTTATCTTTGCGGATGCTAATTACATCAGGATGTAAATATTTAAAAGTTGGTTTTAGTCAGCATTTGGTGTTCTGGACTAGGACAAAGAAGAGACTGACAATTTAATATGAATAATTATGTGCGTCCCTTCTGAAAATATCAAGGGCGTACCAGATAAATGGGAAAATAGGGTGATGGAAAATGAGATGAAAGCAACGTCAATTTATTATACAAAATTATATTACAAACTGATTATTGATAAGTGAAAAAATATGAAATTATTTGAGATTAGGAATAATACTTGGTCAAGTTATTATCGAGTGTTAAACTAATAAGGATGTGAATTTTTTTTGCTATATGAGTATTATATTTATATTTATTCAATTATTAAACATTATTTCAAATTTGAATCAAACAAAACAAGGACAAAATTATCCATATAAAAATATTTTTCCTCCTATCTCTTTCTGAACTAAACATGATAATATTAAAATCTCTTTATCTCCTTCTCTCCATCAAAATCACTCCCCTCCCTTCCCTTCTGTTGAATCAAACATGCCCAAGAGTATTTGGTATGATAGAAATGACAGAAACGGAAGATTAAAATTTTTTTAATGCACTTGATCTAAAAAAAAATGGAGAAAAGGGGGTTATAAAGTATTTTTTATTATTGTTTTCAATTATACTGACTAAAATTTAGTAGCTTTATTTGATTTTATTTATTTTTTAAGAATTTAATTTATTTATAATTTTATAAATATAAAATCTGAACGGTTAAGATCTCAATCGTACGGCTGAAATGAGAAGTGGGTGAAAATGAAAAGAAAAAGAAGTCGACATCCGGCGGCGTAGGAAAAGTCGATTGACATTAAAAAATGATTAGCCACTTACTCTCAGAGCGGAGGAATCCTCATTGGAAGAATATTCTTCCAATGAGGATTACTCTCAGATTCTTCCAATGAGGATTCCTCCGCTCTGAGAGTAAGTGGCTAATCATTTTTTAATGTCAATCGACTTTTCCATCTCCTTCATTCTGGTCGCCACTTTAATTTTGAGAAGCTTTACACCATCCCTCTTCTTTTCTTTGCTCTCTGCTTCGCGTCTCTTCAAATACGGGGCACTGGATCTCTCTCAACTCAGAGGCCAACATTCTCTCTACCATCAATCTCAGCATTCCCTCTTCTCTCTCTCTCTCTCTCTCTATATCCATGGCTGATCCAGCGAGGTTAGTTTGCTTTCTCTCTATCTCAAATACTTAACTCTGCTTTCTCATTCTTCATTCCTCATCTACTCACTCCATGTTGCAGCTTCAAGCTTCTACCCCTTCAATTCCCATCTCTCTATATCATTCTATATCGGTCCCCGTCACATTCTCTCTGTTGTGATCCATTTAAAACATAAGCATGGCCAGCTGGTAGCTAGTTTGAACAAAACAGAGTTTAGGATAACAATCCTCATCATCAATAGTTGATGAAATATTATTTATGCCTATTTCACATTCTCAATTTACTCCATATTCATCAGCGACACTGTTTTTTCACTCAAAACAAAGGTGTGTACTCTTTCGTTATTTAAATTCAGTATACTATCATCATCGTCTTATGAGTTTATTTTGCTGGTTTTTCGCAGTTCAAAACCCTGGCATACTATCTTTGCATTCTTGATTACAGTGGTAGCCATGGTGGTTCAGATGCACTTTCCCAACTCATCCCCTGCGGACAAATACTCTCCAAACGTGTGGATTTTCATAGTATGCTTGTTCCTTTATGGCTTCTCATCCGCCTACTGCAAGTCTCACTCCTCCACCTCAAATAATGATGCCCCTTATTTCAAACTTTCTTCTCACATAGCTGCAATCTCAGGGAGCATGGCTTGTGCTGTCCTAATATCTGTGTTGGTTTCTAAACCTGTTTTAGCACTCATCATCGTTCTCTACTTGACGTGGCTCCTCATGTATTTTTCCCCAAACCCAGTAACCAGAATCTGCAAGAAGATAGGTTCCTATATGTACGAAATGTGCAAAGGAAGTGAGCGCAACCATGGCCCAAGAGACAACCTGGAAGTTTAGACCATTCTGAAGTTGTGTGCGTGAACTGTTGTGATAAGAAAAGACAAGGTTGGTCAATCATGAGACAGGTTCTGAAATTGTGCAAGTTATAATGCTATTGTACTGTTTTTCTGCCCCTATTAGATCCTCATTTAGAAGTCGCTTTCTTCAGTGTATGAAAAGAAGATTATGGATTTACGCTAGTCTATATATGGAAGGCTTTCCTAATTATATTTAGAGACGCTTTTACTAAAAACTCATCTTCTATTGTTTGCTGCTTGACACGCGCATGCTGAACACATAAAGAAAAAGGCCACCATAAAATAGTTTTACTGTAACATTTGACGAAAGTGTTCATCCAAAATCTTTGCCTCATTTGGATTAGAATGTAAACCGGATTTTAGTAAAGTGCCAAACTCCCAAAGCCCTTTACAGTGATGCTCACTCTCTCTCTCTCTCTCTCTCTCTCTCTCTCTGTGCATACATACATGCGTATATATTACTGTTTCCTATCGAACTCGTGGCTTGCTTGACACAAAATCATTACTCTTACGTATGAACCGTTGGGTTGCGGTTGAAGTTCCGATTGAGAGCCACCATTGGCTACGCGGTGGCTCTGTTTTTTGTGCTGGAAACAGAGCCAAACAGAGTATGGTCTTTTATTTAACAGAAGTGTTTGTCCCTCCCCACTCAATTGTTTATATATTTATGGTAAAAGCATTGCTTAAATATTTTTATAAATTAGATTTTCTCCTACATTAATTGTACGATTAAATTTAATTTATAGAGCTTCAACTCACTAAAGATCAAAGCATATTTAAGCTTGTCCAATAAAATGTGGTTCCTAAAAAACAATGATGATCTCTGATAATTTTTAGTTTTACTACTTCATAAAATAATTAAGTTTTTTCCAACTTTCTTTGACATATTTTCTATTCATGAATAAATTAAAAATTATGTAATAAAATGGAAAATAAATTTTTTTAATTCTCTGTATTAAAAATTTATCAAAAAGAATCTCACTTGTTTAGGGGGATATTAATGTTTATTTTTTACTCCCTCCTGTACAAAATGTAAGATGTTTCCAGAGGAATAGTTTAGTTCAAAATATAAATTATTTGAAGAACAATTAATGTTTGTTTGGTAATTTTATCCCTGTAATTAATATGTAATTGTAACTCATTGTATTTTCTTCCTTCTCTTCAATTTTTAAAGTACGTTATTTTTTTTTGGGGTGCTTTTCTTAAAATAATACGTGTCCTGCCCGTATTCCGACTTTCAACCATGATTTGAAAGCATAATTTTGGAAAGCAATTAACTGAGAATAATAAAGATTTTTTTTATTTTTGATTTTGTTTAAATAATAAATATTTTTTTTGTTTTTGTTTTTGATTTACTCTTCCGGTCCTTAATATATAGCCTAATTATTAAGTTAATTTTGGTCCTAAATATAAGATCCATTTCTTATATTTATTAATTTTTCCTAAATTACCCCCATGAATCATCCTTCAACCATAATCAAGTAAATGAGAGAAGGAGGATATTAATAAAAATGATTATGGTGTTTTAGGAAAAACATGTCATATTTCTTATAATTAACTAACTTACCTAAATTTTTTAATCTAATCAAATTAGTTAAATGAATTTTATATTAAGGATCGGAGGAATATTATTTTACAACAAAAATTCATACTAATATACAATTTTCATCCTGACTCTGTTTTCCTTGATATGCTTTATACTTCTATAAATTATTTTTAGGAACAAAAATTCATACTAATATACAATTAGTCGGTGCTGCTAATTTTTTTTCAATTGAGGTGAAGGAAATTTTTTAATTCATAAAAAAAAAAAAAAGCATGAAACTGTTATTCAATTAATATCTCTCTTACACGCACGATTGACTAATTTTGTGGGTTACAATAAAACATTGTCAATTTAATTGTAACCTAATTGAAATATCCTTCTAACTTTATGATACATCAAGACGATAAAAAAAATTGAAAATATAGTTTAGAGCATTTGATTTTAATTCATAATGTAGACTTTAATTTAGGAAGAATTACAATGAGATCCAAGTAAAAAAATTAATTATTAAAAAATTCTAATAACAACCTAATAATCTGTAATGATAAGTTTCAAAGTAGAAAATAATAACCAGACTTATTTTGTGTAATTCTTTTTTGGATTTTATTGTAATTCTCCCTTTAATTTACTATATGCTTCGTCCGTTTTGGTTACACGAGACAGTTAACTAAATTAACTTGTTCTAAGTGTTGGATAAAATTAACTGGAGAGAATAAATATATAAAAATAATGCAATCTTTTTGTCAAAAATGCTCTCATCAATGTATTAGCGTGGAATAAGTAAATGCGTAGTGGAGAGAGAATGTGTAGGAATTAAATACAATATTATGAGTAATTCAACGGGGTAAAAGTAAAAAATCAACAAATAAAATTTGAAACGATTTCTTTTTTTTTTTTAAAGAAACAATTTCTAAATATCTCTTATACAAATAAACATGTTATATTTTACAAATGTAGATGAAGTGGAACTTCCAGTTCGTAATATAAGAAGTTGATTAACTTTTATCGTAAACTAATAAATGGTAGCTAAGTCATTGAATACTCTCCAAACGTGTGGATTTTCCTAGTATGCTTGTTCCTTTATGGCTTCTCATCCGCCTACTGCAAGTCTCACTCCTCCACCTCAAATAATGATTCCCCTTATTTCAAACTCTTTCTCACATAGCTGCAATCTCAGGAAGCATGGCTTGTGCTGTACTAATATCTGTGTTGGTTTCTAAACCTGTTTTAGCACTCATCATCGTTCTCTACTTGACGTGGCTCCTAGTATATTCTTCCCCAAACCCAGTAACCAGGATCTGCAAGAAGATAGGCTCCTATATGTACGAAAGGAGGTGAGCGTAACCATGGCCCAAGAGACAACCTGGAAGTTTAGACCATTCTGAAGTTGTGTGCGTGAACTGTTGTGATAAGAAAAAACAAGGGTTGGTCAATCATGAGACAGGTTCTGAAATTGTGCAAGTTATAATGCTATTGTACTGTTTTTCTGCCCCTATTAGATCCTCATTTAGAAATCGGTTTCTTCAGTGTATGAAAAGAAGATTATAGATTTACGCTAGTCTATAAATGGAAGGCTTTCCTAATTATATTTAGAGACGCTTTTATTTACAACACATCTTCTATTGTTTGTTGCTTGACAAGCGCATGTTGGAACACATAAAGCACAAGGCCACCATAAAATAGTTTTAATGTAACATTTGACGAAAGTGTTTATCCAAAATCTTTGCCTAAATTGGATTAGAATGGAGACCGGATTTTAGCAAAAGTGCCAAACTCCCGAAATCCTTTACAGTGATGCTCACTCTCGCTCTCTCTCTCTCTCTCTCTCTCGCTGTATTTATACACACATATGTAACTGTTTCCTATAGAACCCGTGGCGCGGCGGCTCTGTTTCTTGCGATGGGTCGCGGTTGAAGTTCCGATTGAGAGCAACCATTGGCGGCGCCGTTGCTCTGTTTTCTGTGCTCGAAACAGAGCCAAACAGAGTATGGTCTTTAAATTAACAAAATTATATTACAAACTGATTAGCTTTTCGTTCTAATTCCTCTGAGAGATTTAGTATGGGATTGATGTTATTAAGATTTGTTCAACAAGCTATTAAGGTTATCATTAAATTATTGATAAGTAAAAAATATGAAATTATTTGAGATTAGGAATAATACTTGGTCAGGTTACTATAGAGTTTTAAACTAATAAAGATGTGAATTTTTTCTCCTATATGAGTATTATATTTATATTTATTCAATTCTAAAAATTACTAAATTGTGATATTATATATTAAGTGTAATTTATAATTATATTTTATTAAATATTATTTCAAATTTGAATCAAATAAAACACGGACAAAATTATTCATATAAAAATATTTTCTTTCTCATCATCAAACTAAACATGATAACTTTAAAATCTCTCTATCTTCTTTAAAATCCCTCTCACCCCTTTCCCTATCATCCTCTCTATTAAAACTCCTCTCCTCTCTTCTCCTCTACTAAACCAAACATACTCAGGGGTATTTGGTATGATAGAAATGAAAGAAAAGAAGAGCAAATTTTTTTTAATGCATTTGATTTTAAAAAATTGGGGAAAAGGAGGGTTATTAAATTGTAATTAAAAATTAAAAAATTAATTAAAAAAGTCTTAGACTCACTTTTCTCATTTTAATTAGCGTAGAAGACGACAGAAACTTGAAACAAATACAGAATCTAAACAACACCACAGACTAAAAGCGTCGAAGCTGAGGACGAAAGTGCCACAATTATCCAACACCACCTCTATCAATAATATTAAATGACATTAAAAAATGACCAACGGAGAAACAAATTGCATGGGGGGTTTTGGGAATCATCCAGAATTCTTCTATTGCCATTAGATTCTAAGTTAGCAACCAGAAACTTTTTCAAGAGAGGTGGAGCTGCCATGAGCCTCCCATTATATTAGGCGCTAAACCTCTATTGTAAACGGTTGCTAGATGATCAGCAAGCTTTATTCCTTGGCGTCCTACTACAGAAAACATAATCCTTGCCTTCTTCTAAACTGAGGCAAAGATCTCTGACTACTGGAACACACTACCGCTCTAAACCAGCAATAGAAAACTAAATATCTTAATTTAGAATTCTTCTTTTTTTATTTCTGATGAAAGAGGTATTATAGTCATTTCATAAAAGTTTTAAAATTAATTTTTGAGTTATATGACTTGATTAGAAATTTAACAAATTTAATGACTTAAATAAAAGTTTGGGTTATTGTGTTGTTTATTTATATAAACAATACAGTAGGGGTTTAGCAGGTTTAGTGTTTACAGTAGAGGTTTAGTGTCTTTTTAAAGGATTTTTCCAATATATAATGCTAATTGTATTGTTTATATATAAATATATATATATTTTTTTTGAGTTACAGAAGGGCGGGATCGAACCCGCATTACACACACCCACGCACACACCACACCACTGGGCCAACAGGCCGGTATATATATATATATATGAAAAGAAAATTATAGCTGTACACGAATCTATTTATGTGGAAGGCGTTCCTAATTATATTTAGGGACGCTTTTATATATGAATCACGGCTGATACTGTATTGTTTACTTGTTTTCTATTGAATATAATTTCACGATCTCGTGTGCTTGTGTTCCGCTCGTCATGCGGGGACACAACATGAAATGTCTTTTATTATTTTATTGTGAAATGCCTTTTTCTACTAGTACTGGATTAAGGGAGTCTTTAGATGAAACCAAATTATAGTTTGAAGAATAACTTCTGGAGAATAGATTTTTGGGAGAATATATTCTATAAAGAATAGATTTTGTGAAAAAATGATTCTGATAAAATGAGAGTGTTTGGATAGTTGTTATCAGAAGAACTTTTTATCTGTACAAATTCCTAAAAAAACATAAGTTAACATGATAATTATATAAAAATAGATTTTATAATATATTTTAATTTAAATGAATAAAATTGTTAATAATATTTTTTTACCAACATAATTAATAATATATAAGATAATATAATTAATAAATAATTAATATGTGTATATATATTTATAAAATATAAGATTAAATATGTTTATAAAAAAAATAACTGAGGGGTGTTAAAGTCATATTATCATTGAGATATACTTTGACAGGCACAATCATACTCTTCAATTTGAACCAGAAGAAGAATAGATTCACTTCTTCTGAAACCATGGTTTTGAACCAAAAACCATGGTTTTGACCCAAAACTGCGGTTTGGTAATTTTCCTCCCTGTTTGGCAAATTTAGAATACAAACCATGGTTTGGGTCCCAAAACCATGGTTTTCTTTGTTTGCCAAACAGGCCCTAAAGTATGCATTTAATTTTTTAACTATATATAATATTTTAATTTGATCCCTTAATTTTAAAAAGTATGTGTTTGATCCTTTAACTCTAAACTTATATTTAAATGATAATTTTTTTTTATCACAATCATGATTGGTTTAAAAATTCAACTTAATATATTAGCATTTGGAAATGTTTCATTAACATTTAAAAATTTAATATTATCATTTTTGTTAACACTGTTAGAGTTAAATAATTAAAAATATACTTTTTAAAGTTAAGAGACTAAATTAAAAATCTGTATAAAATTAAGGTTAAAAGACTGAATGTATATTTTGGTTATTATTATATTTTAGTTAAATACTCTAATTACCATTCTGTTTTGCCTTAATTACACACACCTCATCTTCACTTTAAAAAACATATACTCCTTCGATCCTTAATATAAGACTCATTTAACTAATTTGATTAGATTAAGGAAGTTAGGTAAGTTAGTTAATTATAAGAAATGTGACACATTTTTTCTAAAATACCATAATCATCTTTCTCTTCTACTTGATTATGGTTGAGGGAGTATTCATAGGGGTAACTTAGAGAAAATTGATAAATATGACAAATGGGTCTTATATTTAGGACCAAAACCAATTCAACAATTAGGTCCTATATTAAGGACCGGAAGTGTATTTTAATTCAGATCATTAACACGGTTAAAAAATATTGTGAAAAGATTCTTGAAGTATATTTTTTCAAGTAAAAACTATATTAAAATGAATGTTGTTTACTAATTTACCCTTGTTATGCCAAATCTCTCATTTATCTTTTAACATTAATATTTATTAAGAAAAATAGAATGGAGCAGTAAAAAGCAGCAATGCAAACAAATCATTGACAAAACATAATATACCTTTAAAAACTAACGTTTATCATTAAAATAGTGGTATTAATTGTTAATATTTTTAACTATAATAAATATTATTGCTATGATTTTAAATTTTTAGATAAATTTAAACTTAAAAAGCTTTTCAGGTGCCTAATCCCTAGTGAGTAAAAATTCCTACGTTATTTTGGACCTCTCCTTAACTTGACCCAATTTTCCAAAACTACCCTCATTGCTTTTTTGTGCGTTGCGCCATTTTCTCTGTTTTTTTTTTCCCTCTCTTTTTCTCTCTCTTTCAATAATATGGTCATCTCGACATTTTTGACCCCCGATCTAAGTACTAATCTGGCTTGGCGGCACATTTTCCTAGGTTAGGGGTCCTATTTTCGGCTCAGAAAAACATTTCATAATTTAATTGGCTCTCAGCAAAGTCACGTGCTTCTTCCTCCTTAACGTTGAAACAATACGAGTACCAGATAGGACCATAGTACTTGATCCTTTTTATTTTTTACTCGTATCTTTTTTTTAATATTTTATTTTTAATACTGTCCTTATTAATTATAGTAAAAGTGAAAAGAGTAAAAATTAGTGAGAAAAAAATATGCTAGTATTTAATACTCTTCTTAATAGGAGTAAAAGTAAAAATTTTACTTCTTTAGTTCTATTTATAAGTCACTTCCAACATGTTTTATATAGATTAAGAAAAACTTTAAATTTTTTTAACTCTTATTTAAAATTCAATAATTTTTCAACTTTATCCCTATTTAATATAAATTATAGCTCATGTAAACAAAATTAATACAGTAATAAATAAATGATAAAATTTTACATTCCCATAAAAGTTTTTTCTCATTACTCTATAAGTAGGACTAAAAAATATTTTCTCTCTTTATCCTATAAATAAGACCAAAGAATTATCTATTTAATACTCTTCTTGGTATATGAGAAACTCTTACACATAATAAATAATAAAGATCAAAGTGGTACTTATTACTAACCAAAAGTAATTTCACACCCTCCCGGGGACACAGGTTTCTTCCTCCTAACAAGCAAAAGTTCTCAAATTTTTGAAGATAAAAGCTCCCCCCCCCCCCCCCACCTCTTCTCTCTATATGTATATAATGCATAGCTCTAAAAAATTTTAAAAAAGATATGCCATTTTTATCTTTAACTTTGGCATGATTTAAAATAAATCATAATTGTTCTTTGTTTCTCTACGATAGACTTAGGATCTTCAATTAGCGGGTGATTTTTTTGACAATTAATTATTTTATGATAAAATGTGTTAGATTATGAGATGAAGATAAATAAAAAGAAATCACCATTTTACTCCAAGTAAAAAAGAACGAAATCACCATTAGATGGTTTTTGAAAGGTGAGGTTCTCCTTCTTTTCCGTTGGAGCGTGGGCCCCAAGAGAATGAACAGTGTAAATTGGAAATTTGGTGCATAGGACGCTAGTGGGGTTAGTTTCGAATAATTGTTATGGTGATGAGAATCATTGTGATTAAAATTCAGTCAAGACTTTTATAGATTGGATGTGACCTAAAATGATGCTATGACCAGGTTTTCTTTTTGTTTTTTCATACAATTATTTCTGGGTTTTCCTGACTCACTTTGTAACAAGGTATTAAAAACCAGACTTTAGATTGGTCAAGGCATTGGGATCAAGGATTAATGAGTGAGACTAGAGTTAATCTGTGAATCAAACTGATCAAAAATAAAAAATAAAAAATTAATTTAAATTTTTATCATGCCATCAAAGGACTAAATATTAATTTAATATTACTTTTGGTCTTTAATATAAAAGATAGTTTGACTTTCAATTTAATTCTAAATATAAAACTCTAATCCACTTTTTCTTTTCATATTTATCTATTTTTTAAAAATCATCCTTGTAATAGTTGCATATGTTAAAGATTTCATTAAATAATAGTTCTAGTTAATACATATGATTAGTAATGATATTTTAAAAAGATAACACCTATTTATTATAAATAACTAATTTAACTAATTTTTTTAATCTGTTGGAATTAATTAACTAGTTTTTATAATAATAACCGAAAGTAGTGCATTGAATTCCTAACAAAACAGTTATATACTTTCATTTTCTTTCCAATTCCCCTACAATTCCCTTTGAAAAATTGAAATCATAGCATCGTACTATTAAAATCACTCAATATTCATTATAGTAAAATATCAAAATAAATTTATGGTAGCAAAATACTCCTATCTACAATGTTTTAGTCACCAAACTAATAATTATTTAGCACTCAAACAACTTTGTTTTAAAAAAATCACAACTGAGTTAACTCATAAAATCATTCTATCTGACCCACCGCCGGGTTTTTTCTACCAACTGGACTGGCCAATTAATCATTTTTTGTCCAACCCAACCCCGATCGAGTCTGATTCTGATTCTAGATACTATGCTCGGCGATAAAGCAAGAATACGGTAACGACTTCTTTCAAAGTCATTAATTTGTCTTTTCTTCCCTTCTGAAGCATGAAATAATTTTCCCTTTTTAGAACAGTGACTGATGACTAAATCGTGACTCTCTCTCTCTCTCTCCCCCCCTCTCACACACGCCATGGCTAATCCAGTGAGGTTAGTATACTTTCTCTCTCTGAACTACATACTCTGCTTTCTCACCCTTCATGTGTATATCTATACTTGCATCTTCAAGCTTCTGTCCTCCACTTCCTATCCCTATATTAGGTGATATACCTCAAACCACAGATGTGGGCAGCAGGTTTTGAACTAACGGAGCACAAGTGAACAAAGAGATTACGATAACATAATCATCATCATCGAAAGTTCATGAAATATCTTTTCTATGCATTGCACATTTTTGCTCTAATCCATGTTTACCAACAACACTCTGTTTTCACTCAAGGCAAAGGCCTGGGTTATTGGTTTCATTATTTGAATTCAGTATACATCCTTTATCATCCTTTGAGTTTGCTGGTTTTTCGCAGTTCAAAACCCTGGCATGCTATCTTCGCATTCTTGATTACAGTGGCAGCCATGGTGGTTCAGATGCACTTTCCCTACTCATCCCCTGCTGACAAACACTATCCAAAAGTGTGGATCTTCATGGTGTGTTTGTTCCTTTATGGCCTCTCATCTGCCTACCACAAGTCTTACGCTTCCATCTCAAATAATGATGCCCCATTTTTCAAACTCTTCACATAGCTGCAATCTCAGGAAGCATGGCTTGTACTGTGCTAATATCAGTGTTGTTTTCTAAACCTGTTTTAGCACTCATCATCACTATCTACCTCACGTGGCTCCTCATATATTTTGCCCCAACCCAGTAACGGAAATATGCAAGACGATAGGTTCATATGTGTCCGACATGTGCAAAAGAATTGAGCATAACCATGATCCAAGACACAACCTAGAAGTTTAGACCATTCTCAGGTTGTGCAAGTGATTCTTATAATGTTGGAACTTGGAAGAAAGTAGGCAGGGCAATCAACAGACAGGTTTAGAGTATTCGCAAATCGTATTGTACTGTATTTCTGCCCCTATTAGATAGGTTTCTTCAATGTATTTGGGGACGCTTGCATAAAGAACAGCTGATCTTCTACTGTTTACATGCTTTCTATTGAATATAATTTAGTAATGATTACACACATGGACTGTGTCATTTCCTTGTTTAACCAAATGAAAAAGATTTGATGTGCACTTGTGTTGCCCTCATCGTGTTGGGGCCGACACACGAGTTTATTAAACCTCAAAGAAGTACACGTGAACGAATATTACATTTAAAACAAACATATTCATATGTTATAGATTGAGTTGAAAATGCAGGCAAATCATTAGAACCGAAAGGGCATTATCTATTTATTGGGTGCTTTTCTTAAAATAGTACATGTCCTGCTTGTATTCCAACTTTCAAAAAAAAAAAAAAGATTTAAAAGGGTAATTTTGGAAAGCAATTAATTTACAATATTAAAGATTTTTTATTTTTTATTTCGTTTTTTATTTTTTATTTTATAACAAAACACCTTTATCTGGTTCTGTTTTCTGTGTTGAAAGCAGAGCCAAACAGAGGACGATAGAATGTGGTCATTTACAGCAATGGCAATGGGAAGAAGCCGCAGACAAAGGCAGAGGATGATCGAAGGTCGTCATATCCTTTGAGAAAACCGGAGCGATGACCAAAGGTCGTCATATCCAAACTGATTCTCTCTCTCTCTGTTTTTTTTTTTCCTTCCAATTTTCATCCTGACTCTGTTTTTCTTGATTTGCTTTATATAAATTATTTTGTGTTAGGAACGAAAATTCAAACTAATGCACAATTAGTTGGTGGTGCAAATTTTCTTTTGTTTTTTTTTTTAGTGAGGTGAAGGAATATTTTTAATTCATGAAAAAAAAGCATGAAACTTGTATTCAATTAATATCTCCCTCCCACACGCACACACACGATTGACTAATTTTGTGGGTTAAGATGAAAACACTGTCAATTTAACTGTATTTATGTTAAATTTATGATACATGGAGAAGACGGATTAAAAAAAAATTGAAAATATAGTCAAGAGCATTTGATTTTAATTCAGAATGCAGACTTTAATTTACTATATGCTCCCTCCGTTTTGGTTGTACGAGAAAGTTAACCAAATTAGCTTGGTCGAAATGTTGGATAAAATAAATCGGAGAGAATGAACATAGAAAAGTAATGCAACCTTTTGCCAAAAGTACCCTCACTAATGTATTAACGTGGAAGAGTAGATGCGTAGTGGAGAGAAAATGTGTAGGAATTAAATATAATAATATTAGTGACATGAGTAATTAAATAGAGTAAAATACAAAATCAATAAATAAAATTTGAAATAATTTCTAAATATCTCTTATAAAAATCAATATGTCATATTTTATAATTGTCTTTTATAAAAATGAAGAGACGAAATCTCAGTTGGTTAAGTTTTCTCATAAACCAATAAATGGTGATTAAGGCATTACATAGATCTTAAAATTATAAAATTTTTCTATTTTACCCTTAAAAAATATGATTGGAAAATAATAAAATATTTTTAAAATATTTGATCAAACTTTTAAATCCCTCTTTAGGCTATATGGCTCGATTAAAACTTTCCTATGTTCAGTGACTCAAATTAGACATGGTTATTTGGTTGGTTTTTTAAGAGATTTTCCCCTTTCTAATTATTATTATTATTATTATTATTATTATTATTATTTATTTTTAACGCAAAATATGATGTTCGCACTTCACGCCATGCGAGCAAAAGTCAACGAAAAATAGAATAAAACGGCGAGCAGTGACCGTGAAAACGAAACTGTCTCTCACCTTCTTTTAAATTGTAGGTACTTTGTTTGCGAAAAAAGAGGCTGTTCCAATTGAATTTTGTTTTAGAAAAACCAACTAAAATTTTGTACACAGAAAATATTGATACTTTACAAATTTTATACACAGAATAACAGTACTCTGATCTAGGGCCTTCTCATCAATAAAATTTTTAATGAAAGATTTTTTTTCTTGATTTTCTGAAAAAAAAAATGTAGGCACTAGGTGGTTAGTCAATAAACAAGGACAAAGGGAATATCCAAGACACTATTTTTTTTTTATGGATTTTAATTATTTACCAGAGAAAAATAAAAAGAAAAAAGGAGATAGCACATGGATCATGCTATAGAGGCAAAATGTTTTTTCTTTGTTGGCAAAAAAGAGAAAGAGACGAAGTTTTTGTTTCCTTTTGTCAATAATTTGCCATCACCCAGTATTTCAGTGTTGAGGCCATTTAGTGCTAAAGTTGCATCTAGATACACACACACACACATATATATATATATCAAAAGTAGAGGGTGATAAAGTCAAGAAGTTGTGCGGCATGTCAACATCAAAGATGGGCTCCATCAGCATGGATGGAAAGCCTTTCCGATTGTGACACCTGTACGGTGGATATTCGTCGTCCCTTCCCCCTCCTCCATTATAAATCCCGTTCCCAGCAAGTTGTTCTGATCAGTGCATTGTCAGTGTTGCGTTGATATCGTTGTGAGTTCTGTGAACTGAAAATGTCTTGCTGTGGTGGAAACTGTGGTTGTGGAAGCGGCTGCAAGTGCGGCGCTGGATGCGGCGGGTAAGTTTCCGATCACCTGTTGTCAATCTGTGTGCTTATGTGGAAAATCTTTGCCGGCGTTTTGATTGTCTTTCTTGGCAATTTCGATTTTGTGCCGTGAAACTTTTTGTTCTACCTTTCGGTGATCTCTTTTTTTGGTTCACTATTTCGCTTTAGTTTAATTTCTCATAGATTTCACGCGATCCCCAACGATTAGAGAGAAGAGAATAAACCAGAGAGCATAACAAACAGGCGATGACAGAGAGATTTTTAAAACTCCTCCACAACACTTTTCTCAGTCCTTTGTAATGTTTTCATCTTGGTTATGTTTTGATGACACTTGTTTGGGTAAGATAATTAACTGAGCACATTCATTTGTTAAATTTTGTTACAGCAGCCTGATACAGTGAGGTTTGTTTGCTCTCTCTCTCAATTATGTACTCTGCTTTCTCAATTTTCATTTCTCGTCTGCTCACTCCACATTGCATATATTTTGAAGCTTCTTTCACTTCCCATCGCTCATATCTGCTCCCCCCACGTTTTCTTTGAATCACCCGCCTTCTCCCACTTCCTATCCCAATATTTGCTGATATAGTTCTTCACCATCAACACTCTGTTTTTCTCAAAGCAAAGTTTGCTGTTTTTTGCAGTTCAGAGCCCTGGCATGGCACCTTTGTATTCTTAATCACAGCGATAGGCATGGTGGTTCAAATGCACCTTCACGGCTCATCTCCAGCCGACGAGCACTCCGCAAAGGTGTGGATCTTCATAGGATGCTTGTTCCTTTTTGCCTTTTCATCTGCCTACTACAAGTCTCACTCCTCCAACTCAAATAATGATTCCCCATATCTCAAACTCCCATCCCACATAGCTGTAATCTCAGGAGGCATGGCTTGTGCTGTCCAAATATCTGTGTTGGTTTCTAAACCTTTTATACCGCTCATCATCATTATATACATCATGTGCCTCCTCATATATTTTGCCCCAAACCCAGTCACCAAAATATGCAAGAAGATAGGTTCATATGTGTATGACACTTGCAAAGGAATTAAGCATAACCATGACCCAGGAGACAACATACAAAGTTCAGAGCGACAGGATTTAGAGGCTTCTCAGACTGATAAGTTATAATGTTATTGTACTGTTTGTCTCCCCCTGTTAGATCATCATCTAGAATTAGGTTTCTTCAATATGCATGAAAAGAAAATTGTAGCTGTACACGAGTTTATTTATACGCAAAAAGCTTTCCTGATTGTACTTGGGGATGCTTGCATAACATACCCTTAGAACATCTGATCTTACTACTCTTTACTTGCTTTCTATTGGATATACAACTTAGTGATGATTAAAGAGTGCTTGTTACCGGAAGAAGAACAGAAAATTAAGAACATTAGATTACGAAAACCTGAAGTGTGCGTTAGTTGACTTTGGATGGGAACGAAGAATGGTGAGCACACAAGTAAATCTGGTTATTTTATTGCAACAGAGGGGAAGGTAATACCACATCAATGCCTCAAAAAAAAAATCATAATCTTAAATATCAGAGCTAGTTGTAGATTCAATTTAATTCTAAATATAAGAACTCAATCTACTTTGTCTCTTATATTTAATTATTTTTTTCTAAACAGTCATCATTGTAATTACACATTGTTAAAAGTCTTTCGTTACAACTAAAGAAACAGCAAACTTTATCCAATTGATATCCCCCACGACCCACCCACGCGCGATTGACTAATTTTACGGGTCGAAGATAAAGCACTGTGTAGTAACTGAAATGTCTTTTTTAGCTATGTTGAATAAATAAATAAATAAATGAGGCCGTAATATCGCTTGTCACCTTTATATTTTTTCCGATTTTCTTTCTTCTCATTCAATTATTCATACTGAAGAAGAAGAAATGGATAATTGAGATTCAATCTTTTATAAAATCATTATTTTTGTCCCTATTTTCAGGTAGTTTATAGCTGTGAACTGTCCTTATTAATTTTTTTATAAATTAAATTTATTTATTTATTTATTTTTCCTCTTTAATTATGTAATTATTTAATCATAGCATTTTGGTCTTTTAACCAGGTTCCCTCTGCGCCACTCATATTTCCCTTGGCGTTTGAAAGGTGATGGCTCTCCCCTTCCGTTGAACCCCAGGCCTTTAGAGAATGAACAACATACATTCGAAATTTGGCACTCTTCGTGTCTTAATACAAGGACTGATAATTAACTTATGAACATTGAGAAATTTAGTTATATTAATTATTTTTAATAAATATATGTTCATCTTTTTAGAATACTTTTCTTAATTAATCATGTGTCTTATAACTACCCTTTTATGAACACCCTCATATCATGTGTAATTAACAAAAATATTTTTAAATTTAAAAAAATAAATTAAGATTTTATATCTAAAATCAAAATGAACCGTTTGTCTAGCTTTTTTATTTAGAACTGGAGCTGGTATACAGAAGCTTGTGGGGGCGGGGTTGGGTTTGCTATCACATAATATTTATCACTATAATAAAACTAACGTTCGAGAGTCTAATTCAAATGGTTCAGTTTTAAAATTGTTAACTTTAATTTTTTTTTTTTGACAAATGAGGGTTAAAACTTAAAAAGCTATCTTCATTTTAAATGTTACGTATATTAAAATTAAAAGAGAATAAACATAGAAAATAAAATAGCATTACATCTTGGGCGTCCAGTCCTTTTTAAAATGGGAAGCGTTCCAGATTGATGCATCCAAGTTTATTTCAAGTTTGCCCAGAAATGGAGCACATTCTATGCTCATTAAAAAAATAAGTAATTATATCTAGGGTACTCATCTTCGCCTAAATGATCTCAAATGGTCCAGATTTAATTTAGGAAAGATTGCAAAAAAAAAAGGACCCTTGAAATAATAAAATTTGAAATGAGTATTTGAATTAACAAAATTGATGGCAGGACAAGCGACAGCTCTCCTATGTCAGCATTGCGGCGCGTTCGAACATTCCCAATTGGGGCTAATTCCGCTTCCGATCAACAGGAGGATAAAGAATATGCGTGTTTTACATCTCCGTCACCCTCTTCTTTTCTTAGCGCTCTGCTTTAGATTTCTTCAAATAGGGGGCACTGGGTCTCTCTCAGCTCAGCGGCCATCACTCTCTCTACCATCAATCTCAGAATTCCCTTTTCTCTCTCTCTCTCTCTATCCATGGCTGATCCAGCGAGGTTAGTTTGCTTTCTCTCTATCTCAAATACTTAACTCTGCTCTCTCATTCTTCATTCCTCATCTACTCCATGTTGCAACGTCGAGCTTCTATCCCTTCCCATCGCTCTATATCATTCTATATCTGCCCCCCTCACATTCTCTGTTTTGCGATTCAATTAAAACACAAGCATGGGCAGCCGGTAGCTAGCTTGAACAGTAATCATCATCAATAGTGGATGAAATATTATTTATGTCTATTTCACATTCTCACTTCAATCCATATGCACCAGCAGCACCATGGTTTTTCGGTCAAAACAAAGTTGTGGACTCTAAGGTTTAGTTATTTAAATTCAGTATGCCATCATCATCATCTTGTGAGTTTGTTTTGCTGGTTTTTTGCAGCTCAAAACCCTGGCATGCCGTCTTCGCATTCTTGATTACAGTGGTAGCCATGGTGGTTCGGATGCACTTTCCCAACTCATCCCCTGCGGACAAATACTCTCCAAACGTGTGGATTTTCATAGTATGCCTGTTCCTTTATGGCTTCTCATCCGCCTACTACAAGTCTCGCGCCTCCACCTCAAATACTGATACTCCATATTTCAATCTCTCGTCTCACGTAGCTGCAATCTCAGGAAGCATGGCTTGTGCTGTACTAATATCTGTGTTGGTTTCAAAACCTGTTTTAGGACTCATCATCGTTCTTTACTTGATGTGGCTCCTCATCTATTTTTCCCCAAACCCAGTAACCAGAATCTGCGAGAAGATAGGTTCATCTATGTACGACGTCTGGAAAGGAGGTGAGCCTAACCATGGCCCCAGAGACAACCTGGAAGTTTAGACCATTCTCAAGTTGTGTGCATGAATTGTTGTGATAATAAAAAACAAGGTTTGTCGATCATAAGACAGATTCTGAAATCGTGCAAGTTAAAATGCTTTTGTACTCTTTTTCTGCCCCCTATTAGATCCTCGTTTAGAAATCGCTTTCTTCAATGTATGAAAAGAAGATTATAGATTTACGCTAGTCTATATATGGAAGGCTTTCCCAATTATATTTAGAGACGCTTTTATTAACAACTCATCTTTTATTGTTTGTTGCTTGACAGGCGCATGTAGGAACACATAAAGCAAAACGCCACCATAAAATAGCTTTACTGTAATATTTGACGAAAGTGTTTATCCAAAATCATTGCCTAAATTGGATTAGAATGGAGACCGGATTTTAGTAAAAGTCCCAAACTCCCAAAGTCCTTTACAGTGATGCTCTCTCTCTCTCTCTATATATATATATATATATATATTTATACACATATATATAACTGTTTCCTATCGAACCCGTGGCGCGGCGGCTCTGTTTTCTGTGATGGGTTGAGGTTGAAGTTCCGATTGAGAACCCCTTTGGCGGCGCCGTGGCTCTGTTTTCTGTGTTGGAAACAGAGCCAAACAGAGTATGGTCTTTGAATTAACAAAATGCCTATCGCTCCCCGCTCAGTTGTTTATATATTTATGGTAAAAGTGTTGCTTAAATATTTTTATAAATCTGATTTTCTCCTACATTAATTGTACGATTAAATTTAATTTATAGAGCTTCAACTTACTAAATATCAAAGTATATTTAAGCTTGTCCAATTAAATGTGGTTCCTAAAAACAATGATGATCCCTAATAATTTTTAAGTTTTACTACTTCATAAAATAATTAATTTTTTTCCAACTTTCTTTGACATATTTTCAATTCATAAATAAATTGAAAGTTTTGTAATAAAATGGAAAATAAATTTATTTAATGCTCCCTATTAAAAAATTTATCAAAAAGAATCTCACTTGTTTAGGGGTTATATTTTTTCTGCCTTTATTGTTACAGGGGTCATATTAATGTTTATTTTTGTACTCCCTCCTGCACAAAATGTAAATTGCTTCTAGAAGAACAGTTTGGTTCAAAATATAAGTTATTTGAAGAACAATTAATGTTTATTTGGCAATTTTATCCCTGTAATTAATATGCCTTTGTAACTCATTGTATTTTTCTCCCTTCTTCTTAATTTTATTTAATATGGATAAAGGTCAAAAAAAATTTTCAATTTGAAAGAGATTTAGAGATAAATACCATTTTTTTATTACAATGAATTAGTTAAAATAATTTATATTATGGATC